TGTGTGTGTGTAACGCCCTGGATGAATTATAATGTAATGTTCACATTGGATAAGTTTCTCATGAATGAGACAGTCGGTTTTCCAGATATTAAATTAAAATTTGACATGACTGCAGATGTGTCACCTCCATCTCGTACTCTGAGAATGACCTCTCAGAGAGATTCAGAGATTCAGAGTTTCCTTATTGTCGTTCCACCACATGTACGACATGTGGTGGAACGAAATTATGTACATAGAGTCCCAGTTACATCCAACAATAAAATGTAAAAGAAAAACAGTAATAAGCTCTAAGATCTATATCTCTTGATATTGTCTAGAAAAAATATTTTGAGGTTTGACCAAAAAAGCCACAACTTTCTTAACATAGCATGATCTGTCATGAAAGGCTAAGTGTGATTCTGTATTTAACTGAATGTTTTGCTTTTTTGTCTTTAATTTTAAGTAAAGTTTACATATTTTGAATTGTGTCATAGAGGATTTGTCTCACATGATTGGAAAATGCTTAAAATGAATAAAGGGGACTGCAACAATGGTAAATTTCAGGCAGATAGAAACTGCTAAGCATCCCTTACGTAACAGCACTCAAATCTCCTTAAACAATTCATAAAGCACATTTCTAATTATTGATATCTCGTTCCTTTTCCCTCCTCAGCACTGAGAGATAACCGCATCCAGCTGTTCCGCTCAACGTCCACGGAGCTTTCCATCAACATTTCTGCAGTGCAGCTGTCTGACGAGGGCGAGTACACCTGCTCCATCTTCACCATGCCCGTCCGCACCGCCCGAGCGACTGTCACCGTGCTCGGTGGGTCACACGCAAACACCACCAGACACAGCGTCCAACGTGGCGCATACCGAAGGAGAATCTGTCATCTCGAGCCTGACGTTGAAACTTCTTGAGGCTTAGAATAAACCCTTGGCTCTGTGTCAGGCATATTTTAATGTTAACTCATGCAGAAATAATGAAAGGTGTGTGTATCTTTGTGTTTTTTTTTTTTTTAAGGTTTAAGGATTAAGCTGAATTTTGACTACATAAAATCCCTTAAAAATATGTCCTCCTTTTTTATTTCTAGTTGGGCAAAAACTCTAGGTTGGGTGTTTTCCAACTGTCCATCTCTTGTCATTCATCTCTAGAAAGCCTAGCCTGACACTGTCAGATTTTTTGACTTCAATCAAATTATCCTGAAAATATTTCTTTGTTCTCGCTGCAGGATGATGGTGCAGCATGGCCTTCTTGCTTCTCCTGCGTTCATAGTCAGCCTCCTTTGAGACTGATTGACGTCTGTACAAATCAGCTCGGCTGCAGTCTGTTTTAACGTCTCCATACACCTGTGAAATTGTGACAAATTGAAACGATTGAAATTAAGCTTCTGGCACTTTTTTTAAAATAATTTCTTTACAGTCGTCATGTTATTTATACAGATTTTACAAAAGTTTGTCCCTTTTCCTACCAGTTACTCTCTACGTGGTGAAAATAAAGGCTGACGAAGTTACAGCGGTTTAACGTGACCTGTCTAACTTAAAAAAAAAACTAAAAAACAGCTCAAAATCACCTTGATGCTCTGCTGAGAAATTTACCCCGCAGAGTCTACCTCGTTTTAGAGCCAAATTAGGTTTGACCCTGCTGATGTCCTTTGTTTAGGTGACTTGCAAAGGGAAAGCTGCATGTCTGCATTAAGCAAAGTATTGGTACTTCAGCAGTTTAGTGCTGAGCATCCATAAAGGAAGACGCCTGTGTGAAAGATTTATTTACGAATGCAACCATTGCACTTAGAGCAGAGATGGTTAGACATTTAGTCTATTGGATTGGGAAAACTGCACGAATGCTGAAACCTACATTGCTCATAATGCACCTTAATTGCATCTTTTCATTAGACTGTTCTAATGAAATCTAATTTGGTCTTCAAAGAGTTGCAATTGTATTTTCAATGAACTGAAAACAAACAAACAGCAAAACAAACCATAATCTCTCTGCAGAAACAAGTTGTTATAAACACCCCAGCGTCATTTTAAAACTCTACAGTTCACCAGTTTGATGCTTGTTTGTGTTGTTAACCTCTGTTCAAGGCTACAGAGCCCTGCAAGGGACATTGGAGGTTGAAAACAAATGTTTTTGCAAGGTGCTGTGTTTCTTCTGCTTGATCCTGCTATCGTTTTTATAAAATCCTTTTATTCTTACCCAGTTAACTCAAGTAACTTAGAGTAACTAAGTTACTCAGCCTACCAGAATCTGTGTCCACGCTCTCCAAAGAAAAGATCAAACACCTTCAAAATCATAGGAATAATCTTTAAAGATGAGAAGTATTACCATACCATACCATACCACTTTATTTATAAAGCACTTAAAACAGCTACAAAGCCAACTAATGTGCTGTACAGACAAAACAACTGGTAACACACAAAGCAAAATACAAAATGAGGTAAATCAGAATATAGACATAAAGACATAAGTATTAAAAGACATAAGTATTAATAAACTAAAACTGGAAAAATCCCTGTCAACTGTTGAAACGAACATACAGTAGTCCCACGCTACTTGACTTGACTTGACGTCGCGTTTCGGAATTACTCTTTACCAGTTTTTCCAAAGTAAGATAGGACATGACACGTTTTGGCTGGTTGATAGATGAGCCACAAGATCGGCATGGATTTTTTTATTTAAAATAAGTTATTTTAAATTATTTAGCACCTGCTGCACCTGTGTGCAGCCCACAGCTGCAGCAGGTGCTGCAGTGCAGCAGGGAAAGGCTCCTTCCTGTAGCTTGTCGCTCTCCACTCTGCAGCTGAGAGGTGGGCGTGGCCAAGTTGGAAGGTGGCAGAGAGAGCAGAGATCGTGACTTGCTGTTCTCTTAGTTTAGAAACATTGTTTGGGATATTGCAAGAGTTTAAAACACCTTAATATATGCAGAAGTCCCTCGCTACTTCACGGTCCGTTTTTCACGGACTCGCTCTATCGCGGTTTTTCAAAATAAGATTGGACATGACACAAAAGTGGCTGACTGATGGATGAGATGCACGATCTGCACGAGATTTTTATTTTAAATGAATTAGTTTAAATTATTTAGCACCTCCTGCACCTGTGCGCAGCCCACAGCTTGCAGGAGAAGCTTCCTCCTGCAGCGTGTCATATCTCTGCTCTGCAGTGGAGAAGTGGGCGTGGCCGAGAGCGCTGGCAGGTGGCTGAGAGCAGAGGAGGCATGGAGCTACAATCATGAAATTCTGTGCTTTTTTAGAGCGTTTAGAGTTTAGAAACATTGTTTAGAATATTGCAAGAGTGTGGAAAGGGTTTGTCAATGCTTATATA